ACTTTCTGCTGTAATGGCAACCTTATGCTGTAATAACCTACTTCTTTCTGTTGGCTTACAAAGCTTCAGGTTTTAACTTATCTTCAGACTTACTAATTTCTAACTAATTCCATCTGACTTACCTACTGTCTACCGACTAACTACATTTTTCAGACTCACAGCTTAAACTTCTGACATAAATTTGTTACAACTTTCTGATGACTTACTACTTACTACAGACTCAAGAGTTTCACCTTAATTACAACTACCACTTTACCATAACCTGGGGCGTGGGCAATAGCTTGCACTTTAAAGGACCATGCAGGAACATTTTAATCAAACTGAGCCTGGAAAATCTTCAATTTCGCGGATTTAAATATTCTTAAGCAGTTCTACTTCTCAAGACATCAATTTATACATGTTATACTTAAAGACAATAGTGTAATTGATAAATTAGGTAAACAATCTATATATCTTATACATTATAAAACAAATGTTTTTAAAAATCTGCAAATTTTGAATTACAATCATATATATAAAATTATAATGGCAGAGGATGTAACATTTTCCCCCCTAAAAGTATCATTTAGTTTGCAAAATCACTTATTAACAATTTTCTTTGATACCTGAAACGCTTATACTGTAACATATTTGTCACTCGTGTAACAATGTTTAAGTCTAGGAGAAGCAATCTAACAAATATATCTGAAAAATCAATAAATTAGTTCTAAAAACTTTCATTTAGATAGTTTACATACAATGGAAATGATAAATTTTGGCCTCTTCTTATGGTCTCAACCCGGTACGGAATTAGACCCAGCCCGTTGTAGTCTAGAAAGTAGTTCTTTAAAATTTTGAAGTGGCCCAATTTAAGTCATTTCTAGTTAGATTGGTCATAATTAAAGTGTATTTATTGCATGTGTGTAGTTTTTGTGTGTTATATGATGAGTTTAAAAGTTGTTTTTTGTGTATTCTCCAGGAACTCATTTGTTGGCGGAAGGATTAAAGATGTACCACCCACCAGCAGTCAGGAGTTTTTAAAGTGGTGAATTTAAACTGTGTTACAACAGAATGAAGATTTCTGAAAAAAGGAGATGGCTAACCTATTATATTTTGGGCCTCATTTGACTCAGATAGTGTTGATGTTTAAAGTTGAAGACAGTATATAATTCATCAAGAACAGTGGAATCCAGAATTAAGCCTCAAATGTGACTGATTTACTATAGAACAAAGAATACGAAAATTCACCAGGTCGACACCTTATGATAAGATATCAAAATCATAACAACGCATTTTGTCACTACTGTAACATAAATTATGCAAAATGAGTATCATTTTATATCGTATAATTATAAATAAAAAGTAAACCATTATTTCTAATGTATAATCTGAAAATTTTAATAGGTTTATACAGTAAATTTCAAGGTCTTTTCTACAAATTACACTTTTAAATTAACTGATAATTGTTTTAAATGTATCTACTGTTACTTATTTGGTCACTACTGTTACAAAATTAGCTGTAACAGAAGTGACTGTTACATGAGTGACATATTTAATGTTAATCTCAGTAAAAGTAATAACAATGTATCCCTAATAGATGTGAATCGTTCTTAATGACTTTTACCACATATTTTACAAAATTCTCAGTGGGGCTGTAAATGCAGAGTACTGACAATTAAAGCATACTACCCGTTACAGGAGTGACGGGAATAAAAATTACGCAAGTACTTGCCAACAGAAGTATGCATTTTCAAAAATATACAAACAAGATGATCCCATGTGGCACCTCCTGTGTTACTATTTAGAGACTTCTCTTTATTTTAGAGGCTTTGTTTTATTCTTAATAGCTAGGGATCAGTTATTACTTTTACTGATCATGAATATGTTACAGGAGTGACATAAACTTTAGGGACAGATTTTCAAATTTTAAAATTTAATACAAAAACTGTTGTAAATGTGCGTTTAACATCAAAGTTGACTGACTTAAACATAAGATAATGCGAAAAGGGTATGTTTTGACAGTTAAATTGTCATGAGATTTGTAATATTTTTACAAATGCTGTTATTTTTGTGTAGGGACAGCACTAATTGGCTCTAACTGGCACTTCTGATAATATTTTTTAAAGGTTATATAACCGTTAAAAAACTGGAAACTGTTGAAATTATGAGATTTTAGCTAAACATTTCGTGTCCATTTGCATTTTCAGTAAAATCTCTTAAATATACTCCTAGGATGATAATTTGGTCTTAACGGTACATGGGAAAGTCCAAAAACGGGGTTATCTGGATTATTATCCGATATCGTAAAAGTAAACACTTACAAATACTATATAGCATTATTCTTACAGTATCGTTTGCGTATTACCGTTATGGCTCTGTCGGTAGATCGAAATTATTTGTAACTTTTAGAGTTTTGTTCTCATAGGTTCGAACCCCAAGTAGTGCCATTTTATAACCACAGGTTTTTCTTCTTGCTCTGTTTTTTTATCATTATAATTATTCATTTATTTTCGTTTTCCTTTTTGTTTTCTTCTTATGATATATATTTTATAGTATATATTTATTTTTTATTTCTATTCTTTTTTCTTTTTGTATTTTTTGATCACAGTGAAATAAAATATTCGATCTCATATTCATGTATGCATAAAACCGGTCAAACAATTGACTGTTCTGAGGTAAAAAAAAAATGTACCAGTAGTCGAACTTCTGTCTGTACGGATAAACTCATTACTGACACGGTTGCTCTACCTACTGCGCTAACAAGACATATGATAACATGTAGTTTTATTTTCATTTTTATAGATTGTGGCATTGATCTGCCTAACCTATTTTTCGCATTGTTATTGGTCTTTGTTATGTAAACAAAGGCTCAAGTTATCATCCTAGGACAGTACAAAGTTTTGGCCGTAGGACAGAAAATGTTACGAAAATATAGAATGACTCCAATACATTTTTGTGTTTACAGATCAAAATCGCTGTAATTTTGAAGTGTTGATCTGTATTTTCTCTTATGAATGTTTTGGAACCTAAGGTTTTTTTTTCGGTATAATAAAATAAATAACATATGGCTGTCGGGGTGATAGAGGATAGTGCCAACCCTTGAACTGGCATATTACCCTCGGCTGCGCCTCGGGGTAATATACAACTTCTCGGGTTGACAATATCCTCTATCACCCCGACAGCAATATGTTATTTATATATTATTATACCTCAATATATCCTTCAATGTAAAACTCCCATAGGCCTACAATGTGTTCTGATCGAATATCACCCTCCTAGAATATATTTCCCGGGGAATATTTCTTATATCACCCTGGGGTACATAACCCTTACATAACTCTGTATTGATAAAAACGATAATGCTTTAGTAACCAGTTAGCATGATGCAAAATGACAGCCATGTGTTATTTATATAACATTGTTAAGTTAATATTTGACATATAAGTAATTTTTAAATGTACATGTTTGTATCCAACCAGCACAGCAAGAAAACATACATTTACGTCAAGTGTCTATTACGATGGCACAGATGTGACACATGTGTGTCTTTATTTATCTTGTTCACACAAGATATTATCTTGTTCCCACGAGATATTATCTTGTTCCCACGAAATAATTATCTTGTTCCCACGAGATAATATCTTGTTCCCACGAAATAATTATCTTGTTCCCACGACATAATTATAGCCAATCAGAAGGTGTAAAATGGTAATATAGCAGTTACTTCTCCTTATTTAGTTGAACATTTACTTGATTATACATGTATATACATTATATTCATGTATAACCATGTAGGTTGATCTTGAAAGTGCCACACTGTAGGGACATACAAAACCTTAACTATCAATTACTGGTGTTTAATAGCGCATTTGCGTGCAAACTGATCTGGGTCGACACTGGAGGGATGCATGTAAGTAGCCTTTCAAAACTCTGTATTTATAAGGCGGTGGCCCCGCAGTGGCGTTTCAGTCCACCACGCGCGAATGAGTAATAATCAAATACAAATATCTTAAATCAATGTAGCATGAGAAGGACCGTCTTCGCAGCACTTAAGAGAAAAGTCACAAAACCCATTTAACACGTGTTGCGTATATGCTTATAACGACCATTGTCGAACCATATCCCCCGACAAGCAAATGCTTCATCCTGTCAAGGTCTGCACTGTTCGCTGTTGAATCAGTAGGTCAGATTTTAACTGTCAAAGCAGTTAACCCCTTGATTAGCTCACATGGTTTATACAGGTTAACTGCTTTGTTTGCCAGATAGAGTTGCATATTTTTCTTAACTTTTGACCACTTGACAGTAAAGAAATATGCAACTCTGTCCACGCCCCTATACCGTTCACAAACTTTCGGGACGGACACTTAGACACTCGGACGGACAATGGCAACGCTATATGGGGCACAAAAATATTGAAGAACACAAACAATGCTGAAACATATTGCTGCGGTGAGTTAAGAAGGCACATGCCCCCCGCGCCCCATCCGGATCTGCAACTGGCCATGCACAATAATGTATGATACATTTTACGTCGGGGGTAAACCAGAGGGTAAAATCACGGGTTAGTTGGATAGATTGTTACAGTATCCAATACAATAAATTACAAATTAAAAATTGAGACATTTATCGTTAACCGATTTGGACATTTATGAGCACCTAATTTGTTGCGACATTTTTTGTTAATTTTTGGACGTTTATCGTTAAAGGAGTTTTGGACATTTATCGGCGATTGAGACATTTATCGTCAATTTTTGGTTATTTATCGTCGTTTGGACATTTTTCGACGTTTGGACATATATCGGCGCTACACTTGTGAAGTGTCCGGGCGAATAAAGGAAATTCTGTGCCAACCGTGTTTGAACAAGGATAGTCAAACGACAAAAGTCGCTGAAAAGTTTTGTTCAAGTTGTAATGAATTTCAGTGTTTGGATTGTTCTAACGTTCATTACACACACGCCTTCTTAAGAAATCATAAATTAGTGAACGCGAATGAGGCGAAAACGAAACAAGGCTCGTTTGATATGAAAGGGTTAGACCAATGTGATAAACACCGGAAAGTTCTAAAATTCTTCTGCGAAGATGAAAATCAGCTCTGCTGCAGTACCTGTGCTGTTGTTGAACATCGAAAATGTCACAGCGTTGTTGACATTCTAAAGGTCGCTGAAAGATCAACCTATGGAAGTTCAACTTTAAAGGTTAAATTGGAGGAAGTGAGACAGAAGGCTAACAATATCGTAGACAGCATTGTCTCATCAAAAGAGAAACTAGACGAAGATGCTAAAGAAATACCAGTAAAAATCAGACGAATGCGGGACGAAGTAATGAAAATGTTTGACGAGTCGGAAATTTCCGTTGTTAAAGACGTTCAATCGTTTCAGAAAGAGACATTAGAAAAGCTGACATTGAAGCAGTCACAGAACGAGAAATATCTAGCTGATATAACGACGTGTCTGGAAATCATTGACAACGTGTATCAGAATGGAACTATGGTACAACAGTTTATAATAGAGCAGAAGTTGAAGAATGACGCCAATGTTCTTCACAAAAATGTCGGTGCAGAATGTAAAGGTTTAGAGCCCATTACTGTAACCTTTGATTTTGATGAAACATTAAAAATTCCTCCGCTGCCAGTCACTGATTATGTTCCAGGACAACTGACTCTAAAATGTTGTCTGTCAAAGGAAGCAAATACTATAGTTCCTGTTAAGAAAACAATGATACTTACACCAGTGAATTCCATTGATTTAAAGCAGAAAGGGGATGATGTAAAAGAGCCATTGTATGCAGGGATTGATTTCTTACCTGATGGTAGACTTGTTGCTGTTGATAATAAAAACAAGAAATGTTTAGTTTACAACGAGAAGCTTGAGAAAGTAGGATCATATCAATTATGTTACCAGCCACTATCTGTTGTTGCTGTATCTGAGGATGAAGTAGCGATAACAAGTCCCGCTGCATTAAAGTTAGACATTCTACATGTTAACAAATCTAATGATATAACTTTAGATAGAACAATCAAAGTGACAACAGTATATGGCTCAATATGTCTAAAAGATGATAAACATTTTGTTGCCGGGACAATAGAGCATTCAACACCTGTTCGTATTATATCATCTACAGGAGGGGAGAAAGATTTCAACATCAACTTTCCGAATAAGTCATATCCTATAGGGAAAGGCGCTTGTACTTACATAAGGAGCAGTGACAAAATGGTGCTTACAGATAAAAACGATGATACTGTCTACATATATGACGTCAAGACAAACACGAAAGTCGTGGTGAAGGATGATCAGATAAAGGAACCACGTGGTGTAACAGTTGGCCCCTATGATACTATCCTAGTTTGTAGTAAAGAAACAAATTCTATTGTACAGATATCACAAACAGGTCAGATCTTATCATCACACAAGACAGACACGAAATTTCCGAATATTGCATGTGTCTCACATGATAAATCATTTCTTGCAGTAACAAACACATGTAACGGTAAGAGAAAACTACAGAAGTTTAAGATATCATATTGAAGACATGGATTTTGACATTATTATGTTTAACAATTAATAAACACCATCAGACATCAGTGTAAATAACAATATCAAAAGTTGAACATTCTTTTATAATTTATGCAACGAATTAAAAAGAAATCAACATGTTGTTTATTACAGAAATATGTACATTATTAATCATTATCAATATTTCATATAAATTCATTAATGTGTATTAGTCTTATTATTATCTAGGACATATGACATTTTGAAAAAAAAATTCCGCATTAACAGCACCCATTACTTAATTGTATATATTAACATATTATAATTAAATGACCAAAGATTACATGTATCTCATCTTAAATACTGTCATTACCATGAAATCAGCTTCTTTTACATACATCAGTGCTTTTATAAAGACCAGTTTTCAGACGAATCGGTACAACATACCTGAATTTGGGAAAATTTAATGTATTTACATACGCTAGAGCAATATTTCGTTCAACATAGCATTCTGTATTAAAATCAATATTGAATAGCTTTATAGAGTGAATAATAAATGATAAACTTTGTATTGCACATGTAAATGTAATGTATGTTTCTACAAGTCAAAATAAAATTCCTATCATGTTTATTTTCTTGTTTATCTTTCGATAACTGATACAGATAACCTTAACTGAACCCTACATTTGATATCAATATATTAGATATACATTTCAACCATTCACATATTGATAGATCTGGCATAAATCGGATGATATATTACGCAATACTTTCCAATGAGTCCTGGGCAATGTGGCGCCGTTATATATCGCAACGCCGCTAAATGTCACACTTGCCACTAAATGTCACACCATTGCCGCTTAATGTCGCAACCACCGCTAAATATCGCAAAATTGACTACCGTTAAATGTCGCAAAATTGACTACCGTTTAATGTCGCAACTGTAACGTTAAATGGCGCATGATTTTCCCGTATCGTTAAATGTCGCAACACTACAGTTAAATGTCGCAAGACTTATATTCATGATGAAAATAACCTTGCTAATGGTAATATAGTACAATAGTCACAGAGTTAATGGTTGTATAGAATTTGTAACTTTGGCACCTAAAAGAATGTCCCGAATCTGCTGACTTAAGACGAAATATAATTTTAAATGTCCTTTTTGATTGAAATTAAACTGTAAAAGCGATTGAATAAAGTATAATATGCAAATACGCTACATGTGAGTTGCATATAATAATAATCTGTTAAATATATTGCTTCGCGTACTTGTGTTCATCTACTTACCCTCACCGTTGTGGTTTCGAATCCCGCAAGAGACTTAGAGTATTTTATATGAGGAAAACACTCCAGCTAGTTAACGGAACGTCGATGGTTTTATTCAGGTTCCCGTTCGTGCTTGAAATGATGCACGGAGAGACACCCGAGGTCTTTCTTCACCAGTAAGGCTGAAAAGTCACTATATGTCCTAACTCTGTTGGTGCAATGTAAAATTCAACAAAAATTCATTTTATATCAGATAGCTTATTAGTCCCCTACCGGTTAACCGGAGGGGACTTTAGGTTTACCCTCTGTCCGTCTGTCCGTCCGTCTGTCTGTCAGTCCATCCGTCCACAAAACTGGATCCCGCGATAACTTGAAAAGTACTGAAAATATTTTTATGAAACTTGATATATGGATAGATGGCAGTATGGAGATTATGCACGTCTTTTTGTTTTTACACATAAACTGGATCCAGTGATAACGCAAAATGTACAGGAAATATTTTTATGAAACTTGACATATGTGTAGATGGCAGTCTGGAGATTATGCACCTCTTTTCCTTTTCTTCCTATGTTGAAAATTCTGGTTGCTATGGCAACATATAGACTGAAAATATGGCAAATTTTACACATAAACTGGATCCCCTGTTAACGCAAAAAGTAATAGAAATATTTTTATGAAACTTGACATATGGGTAGATGGCAGTCTGGAGATTATGCACGTCTTTTTCTTTTCTTCCTTTGTTGAAAATTCTGGTTGCTATGGCAACACATAGACTGAAAATATGGCAAATTTTACACATAAACTGAATCCAGTGATAACTCAAAAAGTACTGGAAATATTTTTATGAAACTTGACATATGGGTAGATGGCAGTCTTGAGATTATGCATGTCTTATCTGTTCTTCCTATTTTGAAAAAATATTGGTTGCCTTGGCAACAAATAGGCTTAAAACATGGCAAATATAACAATATTTGTGATTAGTCAAAAAGAGCTGAAAATTTTTATGAAATTGCATCTTTAATTCAAGAGTTATCTCCTCTTTAAGAATTTTGCTTTTAAAATGTTATATTTTGGTAACAGGGATGTTTCAAATATTAACTTTAGAGTGTCCTTCAGTCCGTCTGTCTGTCTGTTCATAAAAACTGTTTCCTGTGATCACTTTTAAAGAACTTTTCCAACAAATTTACTTAAAATAGAGAAAAATTGAAACATTAGTGAATGGCCAATGGCCCTTCAGAATGTTGATGGGGTTCTAACCGGTAGGGGACTTATGGATTGCTTGCAATACTATGATAATTGCTTGTTTGTATATTGCTATAAGTACCAGCGTTCTACAATCTAAATATCAACTTGATTATTTTTAGTTAATACGAATTTATTTTAATTCTATTTTGTAGCTCTAAGCGTATTAAAACACTGGAACTGGAACCAAACAGTGAGTAAAGATTTTTGCTAACGGTAAAAAACGTCTAACCCCTGACTGGGTTGAATTCACGCGGCCAGCAATCTTTAGATTACTAGTGTGACGTGTTAATCTTGATTATTTTAAACAGAGGTCTCACTAATAATCTTATTACACACATTCAGTATGTTCGATGAATTCAGGACCCAATAAAATAATTAATTAGGTCATCTACGGTACACGCACGCTCGTATGTGTATAATTGTGTTTGGTTAAATAATTTCCTTTGTGAACAGCAAAAACATGAAATCACTTCCATTTTATTTCTGCAGGCTTTGTGATTATGCCACGGTATGTTAGGATTTCATACTGAATAACGAAAAAGCATATAAACCATCTACATTTTGCCCATGCTTGAACCCCAGCTATATGTCTTATAACCAAATGGCTTAAAAATGATCAATGTAAGTCATTACAGATGTTTGTGATTTATGGACTCAAATTTTTAATATAAAGTATTTGATTAAGGTTTGCTACGTAACAAACAGTAGTTTACCTACGTCTGGCATAGATAGGTGACCTATCATTTTAACTACCACTCGAGAAATTCAGGCGATACCTTGAGCGTTTTTTTCTCTTCTAAAACACATTCACCCTTTAAGACTACATATCGGCAAAGTCTTGCATTTATTTCAACGGCATCAAACTATAAGAAATGGGATACATGATCTACTCCAGAACCTTTTAAAACAAGGTTTTTCACATTGAATTGCTACTGGAATCCGTGCTTAAACCACCAAAAAATGCGATTGAATTTGGTTGTGTTGACTGGTCCATAAACGCGCAACAATTTCCTATTACATCGCTTGTTGCCATTAAAAATGTCAACCAAAGTAACTAGAATCAAATAATACTATTTTCAACATGTAAGTATCATTTTGTATAATCACCAGCCCGCCAGGTTAGACCAATAAGTGAAGTGCCAATCTCCTTCGATTTTCTAGATGTTAAAGATAGAGAATCTAGTTATGATAATACTTTTTTACTAGTAATGAAAGAAAAGAAAGAAGAAAAAAGTGAAAAACTAATCCAATGAAATTTATAAAACTAATTTAATTGTTACAATATAATAAAATATGAAAAACAAGATCAACAAGGAAAGGCGGCGTTCAATGAACGCAACCCCCATATGACCCAGCAACAAGAACCAATGGCAAGGAGCCCAGGTGGACCCCAAACATAAAAAGGACAGGGCAACGACACGTTAATCATTAAATGATAAATAATTTGTAACTGATCAGGAATTCAAAGAAAATAATAATAGGCCCACAAAGGCGAAGGGGACAGGAGACCGGGGGAAGGGGGGGGGGGGTTAATCAAAGAAATAAAAACTAGAGGCATTGGGGAAGATACTTACCGTAGACGAGAAAACAACAAGGGACACAAGCAAAAGTGTCACCAAAACAGTATGAAACAACATAGACATACATCTGAGGAACACAGTGGGGCGCCGCCTTGGAACGGTCAGCAGCATAATAATGACTGCTGGGGAGTTTAAACCGGTTAATGGTGCACCAAACCTCGCTCTTAGCCCCACCATGTTCCTATAAACGAGACAGTGTAAATAAAATGAATCCCCGCCAAGTGAAATTCTAACAGTTGTCATGGTTACAAAAGGTTAAATAAGTAAAACACTAAAATGCTCTTGTAGAAACATATAAAAGTAAACCCAATGACCATAACAAAAGTACTCAATGTCCTAAAGGAAGACAGAGCAGCAAAAAAAAGGGCCCGACGAAGCAAGGCAGAAGACGAACATTAAGACAATTCAGTCCCAAAGGGCTTTACGAACTATCCATCATAGAGTCTCCCACTTGGTCCGTCAGATGCAATCAAAAGAGGAAAGCGTAGTGTCCAACTGTATAGGGGTTGAACACTAAACATGCAGTATGTCTTAAAATAGTAGGGTCATAACCTCTTTTAATAAAACGTTTAGTGATTTTAGTAAAAACAGCAGAAAAATTACCATGACCCAAAATCTTACGAAGTTTGTAAACCACATCGCCATAAAAACCAGGCTGGCTAATCCCTTGTCGCAGAAGAGTTTTTAAATCACTATTGAATTTAGAAATTAAATCAAAGTTACGATTGTAAAATTTAGTAAAATATTTCCGTAATTTATGATAGCGGTAGCCCTGTTTAAGAAGCTTGCTGGTAATAAAAATATTCCGCTCGTTGAAATCCTTTACGTTGTTACAAGCCTAGATAAACCTAACCTAGATATAATAATTTGGTAGGTAGTTGGATATTCGAATATCCAACTACCTACTATAGCTGGTAGTTGGTTATTCGTAATTCCCATCTA